ATCATCATCAGGTGTGAAAACCACTGCAAGAAAATTTGTGGTTTTCACACCTGATGATGATTGCTTGTGTTGCAGTCGAAAGGTCGTGAGAATTTTATTGTTTTATATTTGTATTATTTTATTGTTTCCCTTCTACGTGACTTTACCGAAAGAACCAAGAATATGAATCCCTGCTCGTCACGAAAGCTTTAAATAAAAAAATATATTGTTGTTTAATGCCACCGTGTTGTTGATGAGCTCGTTGAGGCTTATTGTTAATCGCGCTGATCAGGGTGGTCGGGTTTGGTTGCACAGAAACCCACGATCGGTTAGGCCCTCATCTAGCAGTGCATTGACAGAAGGGGCTGCCCGCGTTGACCGGATCCGCCGAGGTCACGCACGCGTCACACGCGCTCCAGACTCGGGATGAACGGCCGTGGCGCACGCGCAAACACGCCGCTCGCTTCTACTTGGTTGATGGGCAGCGGGGTCGCGTAGCGGGTCGCTATGCGGCGCGATCCTGGGCCTCCCGTAGGTCGACTCAGCCTCAAACGAGTAACCGATGATACGTGTAAAACGCAGCCACTCGGGAGACGAAGGTGGCCGGGCGTGGTCCTGGCCACTCGCCACCTTCGTGTGAGCCTTCATAGGCGACTGGCTAACAGCACTTGCCCCAACGGTCTTGCACAGGCTATACGGGGCGCCTTTGTCTTTGGGGGTGAGGGCGGTCGGACCTGGTGGCGACACACCGCTTCGGAGCTCCTCCTGCACCCTCATTCTCCCTCACTCCTCCCTCGCCCACTCCTCACCCTCCTCACTCGCTACCGATGACAGCCGTGGCCGGGAACCGCTCACCACTGCGCCACCGCTCCACCGCGCGCGCCCAACGTCTAACCCAGGCGTCGGCATCCACAATAACAAGAAGAGAAATAGGGATTTTTTTTTCTTCCGAATTCGGTACAAAAATGAATCAGTCAGTGCCCAGTGCCGGGTTGTCCTAGTAGCGCAAGTAGCTGCATATGTAGTAGCTACTACTAGTTGTACACGTGTAGTAGCTACTTGTACTGCACGTGTAGTAGCTACTAAACGTGTAGTAGCTACTTGTACTGCACGTGTAGTAGCTACTACACGTGTAGTAGCTACTTGTATTACACGTGTAGGAGCTACTACACGTGTAGTAGCTACTACACGTGCAGTACAAGTAGTAGCTACTACACGTGTAGTAGCTACTACACATGTAGCTACGGGCCCCGCACTTTCAAGGGCCCCGCGCTAAATGCTTTCAAGCAATCAATTCCGGTTCAGTGATTCTGCACTTGCTCTATTACTATAGTACTATACTGCCTTCAACTTTTATGAACGACTGGGTGTTTAAGGTTAGCGATTTGTCATATTATCTGGTTGTGTAGCAAATTAAAAAAATACAATTACTTTACTATGCAAGTAAAAAAAAATGTTTTAATATTTATGTGTTTTTTATTGTTTTTTAGGGCCCCCTTTATAACATATGCTACAGGCCCCGCACAAGCACACACGCAGAAGAGCTATTACCCGAAACGTCACCGATTTTATGTTTATGAAATATATCATCATGAATATGAAATATATCATCATGTATATGAAATATATCATCATGTATATGAAATATATCATCATGTATATGAAATATATCATGTATATGAAATATATCATCACATCGCTCGCTAGTCTCCTTTCCGCATTCACAACTCATGATTTGCTCCCTAGCTCACCCCACGACCCCCTCCTTAATCTGCCGCTCATAGCCACCACCATCACCACCACCACCGCCGTTCACTCGTCATGTTCTTAATGCATGGCTCTCACTAATTCCCCATTCATTCAATCCGTTCTCCTTCATCATGTACCGTTATCCATTTGGCTTTCACCGAATTCACGCATCACAGATGCGCCCCCATCGCTTCCTCTCGTCTATTTCATTCACCGCATCTACCACCATTACATTGACACGTTGTTGGAGCCTTGTCCATCCCTGTGTCAAGCGCCTTGGAGAAGGCGTCATGTAAGTTATTTTAAGATCAGAGAGGAAATGCCAAGACACGGCAGGAGTGCAAAGTGCACGGAAGGTAAGCAAGTCACGAGCAAAAAACTATTAATCTCCATATATATAAAAGGCAAATCTCCATATATAAAAGGCAAAGTTGTGATTATGTGTCTGTTCAAAATGTTTAGCGTACTTCCCGACATGCAACAAACTGGAAATTTGCCATGTGGCTACTTTCCAGACTGTACACCATGCAAACATTATAAAAATACACTTTTGGATTTTTTGGGAGTGTGGGGGGAGCTCAATAATGCATCATTTTTTTGCACGGCAAGTGAGCTGTGATGTCAAATCTGTCACGTGACCCGCGCACGTGGAAGCGTAACGCATTGTAGCGTAGCGGTTTGCGCGCCTCGCTACGAACCCGGCGACCCGAGTTCGATTCCCGCTCACGGCCACCACCGGTGACGATTGTTTTTACCGGTTCTGGGCCTCCCCTAGGTCGACTCAGCATCAAACGAGTAACTGCTATGCTGTGTGAATATCGCCACTGGGGAGACAAAGGCGGCGTGCGTGGTGAATCCAAGTCCCGGGCGAAGCCGGCTAGTACATCCTAGTAAAGTATATATTGCAAAAGTGGACATCGATTCCTGCCGATATTCCCAACCACGAAACGCAAGCTTGGGCCAAGTCAGCCGCTCAGCCCGTCTCGGATCGCGCAGTCGTCAGCTGCCGGCGATGAGCGGCATGGGCGATCTATGGAGGTCAGCGCTCATTGATCTCAATCTCTCCGCTAAGGTGCCGCGCTAATTGGCCCCTGCGTCATCACGGCCAGCTCCCGAGTCCCGCTCGCAGCCACGGAGTAGCGAGCGGAAGGTCATCAGCCCAGGGAATCGGTTCCCACCGGATCGCTGCTGTCAGACTGGCCAGAGCGGGCATTGCTCTTCTAAACGGAGTGCTTCTTAACATTTACTTCGGCCTTGCATCCCTTTCGTCCTCAAACGTTTAAAAAAAAACCCTACAATCTTAATAAATACGTCGGTGTGATGAAACAAAGCAGTTGCACTTACGTGCCCGTGCCTAATTTGTGTTTTCGATGGTTTTGCCTTGTAAACAAAGTCTGGCCATGTCTCCCACGCCTAACACGAGCACTACTCCTAACCACACACTAACCCCACCCCTAACACCACCACTAACCCTAACACAGTGGTTCACAACCTGTACTGAAGCCTTGCACCCCTTTGCTTCTCAAACGTAAATAAAAATGTACAATGTTAATCACTGCATCGGGTTTGCTGAAACAAAGTAAGTTGTACCATAATTTGCCCATCCTTGATTTGTGTTTTCAATTATTTACCTTTTAAGACAAAAAAAATCTGGCCACGTCTCGCACACAGCACCCCCAAGGGGTGCTGTGTGATGGACCCCAGGTCAAGAAGAAGAAGAAGAGCCACTGATGGAACTAGATGTTGTGTGCCGGGCGCAGACGTGTTCTCCCGTGCCGCTTCCTTGTCTGCGCCACCTTTTGTCCAACGTTTCGCTCGGCTCCCCCTTTGAGACACAAACGACAATAATAATTACAACAACAATAATAATAGCTGACGGGCCTTTGTCAATCCACCGCTGAATGATAAATTCGCTGTCAAGCCGTCGCCACCGCAACGACGCAGCCAGCCACTGGCGCGCACGGCTCTGAAGTGACTGCTCCGTCTCGCGTCGCCGGCGGCGGCGGCGGTGACGCCGCGAGTTGGAACCTCGCGCGGACAGGCGCCGGGTGGCTCGTTCCATCGCAACGGCTTGGGGAGTCCTTCATCCAGCGGTGGATTGACCACGGCCGATGGTGAAACCCGATGTTGGGCGTGCACGTGTGTGCACGTGTGTGTGTGTGCGCGTGCACGCGTGTGTGTGTGTGCACGTGTGAGTGTGTGTGCACGTGTGTGTGGGGGTGCACGTGGGGAGCGGTGGTGTAGCGGTTTGCGCACTGCGCTACGAAACCTGGCGACCCGGGTTCGATTCCCGCTCACGGCCAACACAATTGAAGATTATCTGAACCGGTCCTGGGCCTGCCCTAGGTCGACTCAGCCTCGAATGAGTACCTGGTGCGGTGAGTAAACATCGCCACTTGTGATACAAAGGCGGCCGGGCGTGGTGCTGGCTACCCACCCCCTCGTGTGCCGTTCTGGCTTTCATAGGTGCTCGCTAACAGCACTTGCCCCTACAGTCTGTTAAGGCTATACAGGGGATCTTTGTATGTATGTGTGTGGGTGCGTGTGTGGGTGCGTGTGTGGGTGCGTGTGAGCGATAGTGAAGTGGTTAGCGCGCTGCCCTGCAAGCCCGGCCACCCGAGATCGATTCCCGCTCACGGCCACCACCACTGGCCCTCCCCTAGGTCGACTCAGCCTCAAATAATTACTCGGTGCGGTGTGTAAAAACATCGCCACTGGAGAGACAAAGGCGGTCGGGCGTGGTGCCCGCGACCCCACCCCCTCGTGTGCCTGTTGAGGCTATGGGTGGCTCGCAATAAATCGCCACCTCCTCCCGGAGTGGCCCGGCGGGGTAGGGAACTGGGCAGAGTCAGAGCAGATGGGGATGGTGGGGCGAGGGGATGATGGTGGGGTGAGTGAGAGAGGGGATGGGGGTGATCGGGAGAGTGAGGTTGATGATGGTGGTGGGGAGAGAGTGAGAGGGGGTGTTGGTGGAGGTGGTGAGAATGGGCACGGCGGGGGGTGATGGTAGTGGGGAGAGTGGGAGAGAGGGTGGTGGTGGAGGTAGTGGGGAGAGAGTGAGAGAGAGGGTAGTGGGGAGAGAGTGAGAGAGAGGGTGGTGGTGGTAGTGGGGAGAGAGAGGGTGGTAGTGGGAGAGACTGAGAGAGAGGGTGGTGCTGGTAGCGGTGAGAGAGACCGAGAGAGAGGGTGGTGGTAGTGGGGTGAGAGAGACCGAGAGAGAGGGTGGTGGTAGTGGGGTGAGAGAGAGAGAGGGGGGTGGTGGTGGTAGTGGGGTGAGAGAGAGAGAGGCTGAGAGCCGAGTGCGCGACAGAGCGAGCGAGCGGGATCGCGCGAGTGGCCGCACTCGAAGGGGACTCGAGGTGAGAGAGAGGAGGAGGAGGGGGGGGGGGCTACACGGGGAGGGTGCGAGCTGAGCCCCCCACTGCCGGAGCGAGGAGCAGGAGACCAAAACCACTCCCTCCACACCCTCCACACCCACCCCCCGGTGCCCGGGGGCCCAGGCGCGATCCACGTGGCCAAGGCGACCGCGGAAGCCACCGAGCTTCGGGTGTCGACCACGGGAGCCGCGAGCACCAGCCACAGGTGAGGGTGGCACGCGATGTCGTGGACCTGCATTGTCCTCAAAATTGCCCTTTCGATTTCATTTAATTCAAAGCATACTTTGAGCCCTCTTTCGTTCTATATATTCATTCATAATAAGCATCATCGTCACCGCCACCTATCACGTTCAGTCGTCGTCCGCGCAACTTGCATCGTCGCTCGCAATCCCAGACGAGGCACGGCAGGCGAGCGGGAAGGGCGTCCGAACGGAGGCGAGCGCGCCGACGGTGATGTCCTTGACCCGCGAGCACCGCGGGTGACACGCCCGGCGTCAGTGGCATGGTCCGCGAGAGCTCTTGGGGTGAGCGGAGCTCGGGCTGGACGCGGCGTCAACCAAAGATGATGAACAACAACAAACAGCAACAACAAACAACAACAACGGAGGCGAGAGAGACGGAGCGATGTTGTTGTGGGTTCACTCTCCAAATCTGTGTGTGCTGTACTCGTAACGAATTGGCTGTGTCGGGTGGTGGCGGGTTTAACGATATATTTATATTAACGCGATCTAACCCCACCCCCCCCAAACAAAGACCTCTAATATGGATCTCAAAACAGCTGTTTTGTTTCCAGAAAAGGGTAAAACCTCATCATGTTTTTCATAGTCGCGAAAGCCCCCTACGATGTGTTAAACTCTTTTGAACTTCTTTCGCACCGCGCCAATCGGAGGTGCGATTACATGTTGGAAAACACGCAAACACACACAGTGTATGTGTATAATGGGCGACGCGCTGGGCAATTGGTGGATAGCAGAGAGATCTGATTACCGTAATGCCCCCTCCCATCCTTTAATTCATCTTCGCCGCAATAACGCGCGCAGACGGCGTCCAATTCAACGAATTTCTCATTAATAATCACAAACAAACAAACGAAGGCACACACCCTCCAGATGTGTTGCTATTTTATTTTCATTATTAACCCACGAGGCGAACCTGAGCCGTTGCCTATGCCCGGATCGGCGCCCCGGGAAGTATGTACCGGGACCCGGCACACCACGTCAGGCATACCGCTCGCTGCGTCGTCGTCATCATCACGATCCATGGGCGGACATCATCCTGGTAGTCGTCGTAGGTGTCTACTGCTCACGTTGTCATGTCTTCCCGCCTTGACGGTTCCTTCCATTTCTCCGAACCACAAACAAACAACAACAACAGCACGCATTTAATTGTCCTGTTGTTTACCGTCCTGCATATTTAGCTCCAGTTGCCTTCTCATCACTGTCTGCATTATCAGGTTGTCCACCTTCTCAATGGCGGAGTCAGGATTTTCACGAAGGGGAGGGGACAACCCCTCCAGCAATGAATGATAGAGGAGTTGTTAGTAAGTAAGGACTTCATATTCTTGGTTCTTTCGGTAAAGTCACGTAGAAGGGAAACAATAAAATAATAAAAATATAAAACAATACAATTCTCACGACGTTTCGACTGCAACACAAGCAATCATCATCAGGTGCTAACGTTAAAATAAACGCCACTTTTTTCACATTTTCTTGCTGTGGTTTTCACACCTGATGACGATTGCTTGTGTTGCAGTCGAAACGTCGTGAGAATTTTATTGTTTTATATTTTTATTATCTTATTGTACGTGACTTTACCGAAAGAACCAAGAATATGAATCCCTGCAGTCACGAAAGCTTTAAATCAAGAAGTAAGGACTTGTCCCTTGTTTTTTTCATTCGACGCGTGTGCGGCGATGGCGCAGCCACCGATCGAGGGGTCGAATTCGAACCGCGTTGTTAGTGATCGCCATCGCGCTCGCTGAAGGTGCTGATGCCTTCGGGGAAGTCGTGGACTGTATACACCACTGCGCACAATTCTGTGAGTCACTTACAGTGAGGGAAAAAAGTATTTGATCCCCTGCTGATTTTGTACGTTTGCCCACTGACGAAGAAATGGTCAGTCGATAATTTTAATTTGTAGGTTTATTTGAACAGTGAGAGACAGAATAACAACAACAAAATCCAGAAAAACGCATGTCAAAAATTTTATGAATTGATTTGCATTTTAATGAGGGAAATAAGTATTTGACCCCTCTGCAAAACATGACTTAGTACTTGGTGGCAATACCCTTGTTGGCAATCACAGAGGTCAGACGTTTCTTGTAGTTGGCCACCAGGTTTGCACACATCTTATCAGGGATTTTGTCCCACTCCTCTTTGCAGATCTTCTCCAAGTCATTAAGGTTTTTTCAAGGCTGACGTTTGGCAACTCGAACATTCAGCTCCCTCCACATATTTTCTATGGGATTAAGGTCTGCAGACTGGCTAGGCCACACCAGGACCTTAATGTGCTTCTTCTTCTTGAGCCACTCCTTTGTTGCCTTGGCCGTGTGTTTTGGGTCATTGTAATGCTGGAATACCCATCCACGACCCATTTTCAATGCCCTGGCTGAGGGAAGGAGGTTCTCACCCAAGATTTGACGGTACATGGCCCCGTCCATCGTCCCTTTGATGCGGTGAAGTTGTCCTGTCCCCTTAGCAGAAAAACACCCCCAAAGCTTAATGTTTCCACCTCCATGTTTGACGGTGGGGATGGTGTTCTTGGGGTCATAGGCAGCATTCCTCCTCCTCTAAACACGGCGAGTTGAGTTGATGCCAAAGAGCTCCATTTTGGTCTCATCTGACCACAACACTTTCACCCAGTTGTCCTCTGAATCATTCAGATGTTCATTGGCAAACTTCAGACGGGCATGTATATGTGCTTTCTTGAGCAGGGGGACCTTGCGGGCGCTGCAGGATTTCAGTCCTTCACGGCGTAGTGTGTTACCAATTGTTTTCTTGGTGACTATGGTCCCAGCTGCCTTGAGATCATTGACAAGATCCTCCCGTGTAGTTCTGGGCTGATTCCTCACCATTCTCATGATCATTGCAACTCCACGAGGTGAGATCTTGCATGGAGCCCCAGGCCGAGGGAGATTGGCAGTTCTTTTGTGTTTCTTCCATTTGCGAATAATCGCATCAACTGTTGTCACCTTCCCACCAAGCTGCTTGGCAATTGTCTTGTAGCCCATTCCAGCCTTGTGTAGGTCTACAATCTTGTCCCTGACATCCTTGGATAGCTCTTTGGTCTTGGCCATGGTGGAGAGTTTGGAATCTGATTGATTGGTTGCTTCTGTGGATAGGTGTCTTTTATACAGGTAACAAGCTGAGATTAGGAGCACTCCCTTTAAGAGTGTGCTCCTAATCTCAGCTCGTTACCTGCATAAAAGACACCTGGGAGCCAGAAATCTTTCTGATTGAGAGGGGGTCAAATACTTATTTCCCTCATTAAAATGCAAATCAATATATAACATTATTGACATGCGTTTTTCTGGACTGTGTTGTTGTTATTCTGTCTCTCACTGTTCAAATAAACCTACCATTAAAATTATAGACTGATCATTTCTTTGTCAGTGGGCAAATGTACAAAATCAGCAGGGGATTAAATACTTTTTTCCCTCTCTGTATAACCGCTTTGCCGTTACTTATTGCCAATTATGGACTCAGGCTATTGTCCTATCATCTCATAGAGTCCCTGGCACGTAATAATATGCTACACAGTGGCAGTGGGGGTCGCAAAATGCCGATTTATTACTAATAAACCCCAATGATCCGATCGAAATTAGGGATTTCGATCGGATCATTGGGGGGGCATGTGCCCCCCACACTGGCTCCGCCAGTCCACCTTCTGCGTGCAACCTTTTTGTTCGGTCTATATTGGTCATTTTTTGGGCTCAGCTATCGCTGTTGAGGAATGGGAACGTCCCCGAGAAGAAGAAGAAAAGAAAAACGGAGCCTGTGGAGAAGATTCCCAATAGCTTCCCTTTCATGCTCGATGTCAACGGCTGACGTGGCCCTGCCCTGTGTCACTCCACTGCTGGATGAGCGAGCCGCGTACCGCCTAATATCGAGCAGCGCGCTACGATCCCCAGCGCCCTTTGACTTTGATTGCCGGGTCACGGCTCTGTAACATCAGCGACGAATTCTATCGGAAGTGGTCTCACTCCCTCTCCTCCCTCCCGCCCTACCTCCCTCCCCCTTCCCTCTCTCCCTCCTCTCCCTCCCACTCCTCCCTCCCGCCCTCCCCTCCCTCTCCTCCCTCCCTCCCCTCCCTCCCTCCCTACCTCTCCTCCCTCCCACCTCTCCTCCCTCCCCCTCTCTCCTTCCCTCTCTCCCTCCCCTCCCTCCCACTCCTCCCTCCCGCCCTCCCCTCCCTCCCTCCCCTCCCCTCCCTCCCTCCCCCTCCCTCCTTCCCTCTCTCCCTCCCTCCCACTCCTCCCTCCCGCCCTCCCCTCCCTCCCTCCCTACCTCTCCTCCCTCCCCCTCCCTCCTTCCCTCTCTCCCTCCCCTCCCTCCCACTTCTCCCTCCCGCCCTCCCCTCCCTCCCTCCCCTCCCTCCCTCCCCCTGCCTCCTTCCCTCTCTCCCTCCCTCCCTCTCCTCCCTCCCGCCCTACCTCCCTCCCCCTTCCCTCTCTCCCTCCCTCCCTCCCTCTCCTCCCTCCCGCCCTACCTCCCTCCCCCTTCCCTCTCTCCCTCCCTCCCTCCCTCTCCTCCCTCCCGCCCTACCTCCCTCCCCCTTCCCTCTCTCCCTCCCCTCCCTACCTCTCCTCCCTCCCGCCCTCCCTACCTCTCCTCCCTCCCGCCCTCCCTCCTTCTCCTCCAGCGCCAACCCGCAATAGCCCGCACGCTCTCCCGTGAGCGAGAGGGGGAGGCCTGAGTGTAGCAGTGGATTGGCACGCCCTGTGCGTGTTAAGGGCAAGGTGTGATGGTGAAATTACGGATTTGCGACCCGCGCCCGCCGTTCTCCGCGGTCTCATTCCACGGCTTCAGAGTCTAAATCTACAACTATTTTGTATTATTATAATTATGTATTATTATTATTTTACCAGGTAAAGGCCACCGAGCTATGATATAGCTCTTTTTCAGAAGCGACCTGGCCGCAAATGATAGCTCAACGAAGTGGTTAATCACCTGGAGCAGCCAAATACTCTAAATGTATGTTTCGACATGTGGAGGGGAAAAACCGGAGAACTCGCCACGCGACCACGGGGAGAGAGACAGGAAAACTCCAAATACACAGCAGCAGCAGGGTTGGGATCGGACCCACGACTTCCTGCATACCAAGCGAGGTAGTCAACATCTCACAGCCACTGTGATGATGATGAGAGAGAGACACGAACACTCCAAATACACAGCAGCAGCAACAGGCGTCAGGGTTGGGATGGGACCCACGACCTCCTGCATACCAGGCGAGGTAGTCAACATCCCATAGCCACCGTGATGATGATGAGAGAGAGACACGAAAACTCCAAATACACAGCAGCAGCAGGCGTCAGGGTTGGGATCGGACCCACGACCTCCTGCATACCAGGCGAGGTAGTTAACATCTCATAGCCACGGTGATGATGATGATGAGAGAGAGAGAGACACGAAAACTCCAAATACACAGCAGCAGCAGTAGGCGTCAGGGTTGGGATCGGACCCACGACCTCCTGTGCACCAGGCGAGGTAGTCAACATCTCGCCACGCAAATGTCGAGGCCTGCTAGCTGTGGTGAGACGACTTCGGCAGAGAGTTCGTGTGGGCATTGAAGGAGCAGCGCCTCAGTTGGTCTACGACGTGGTCCGTAGCTTGCGTGGCACCGCTGCGGCTTCATGTCTTTACTCTGGTCCTTTCGGTAAAGTCACGTAGAAAGAATAATATATTAAATTATAGCGTACGACAGTTTCGGTTGCAACACGAGCAATCATCAGGTACTAATGGAAGAGACGACAAACCTAGTAAACTTAGAAATATAATGCAATACAACACAGAGGGCTCTGCATGCAGATATGAGCTACCCGTCGGAGGCCGTTTGACTGCGGGAAGGGCTGCGTGCAGATGCAGCACTTGTCGTAGTTATAAAAAAGAGCGAGAGAGAGTGAGAGCGACATGGAGTAGGAAGAGAGGGGGTAGAGAGAGAGGGGGGGGCAGAGAGGGGGATAGAGAGAGAGGGAAGGGGTAAGGGGAGCAGAGCGTGACATCTATTTTGAAATCTATCATTTAAAAAGGAGGGGGGGTTACATAAAGCAAAGCATCAAAAAGAAACGAAATGATGAACGAAACAAAGTGCCGACTACACCGAGCATCTTTCTTGTTTCCTCTGATCGTTAACAAAAAAAAAGAGACACCGCAAACTCCAAATACACAGAAGGCATTGTCAGGGTCGGGATCGAACCCACGACCTCCTGCACACCAGGCGAGGCAGTTAACATCTCGTAATAACAACAACGAAACGTGTTTCATCGTTACGGCACGGTGGCTATGAGATGTTAACTACCTCGCCTGGTATACAGGAGGTCGTGGGTTCGATACCGACCCTGACGCCTGCTGCTGTATATTTGGAGTTTGCGTGTCTCTCTCTCTCATCATCACGGTGGCTATGAGATGTTGACTACCTCGCCTGGCTTGCAGGAGGTCGTGGGTTCGATTCTGCGGTGTCTCTCTCCCCATGGTCGCGTGGATTTTTCTCCGGGCCCTCCGGTTTTTCCCCTCCACATGTAGAATCGACATCACCACGCGTGTTTGTCCGTCCTGTATTTCTCCACACGACGATAAGCCGCTTCGTTGAGCCGTCATTTGTGATACCCAGGTCGCTTCTGAAAATATCTTCTATTTAGCTCAGTAGGGCCTTACCTGGTAAAAAAACTATAAATAGAGTCGTAGTAGCTGCCGTAGCAGCGCGTCACGAGAAGATGAATAACCCATTGGGAATTCTCACAGAGCAGTCCAGCCCCCTCGGTTTGAGGACACGACCCAGGGAAGAGGGGGGGTGGGGGGTCACTCTCGAGATCCCGTCAAGTGGCCCTCTCTGGTCCGCACAGAGGAGACCAACGCGAACTTCTTTTTAAACTCCCAGACGCTGAGATGCGTTCGGGTGAAAGTTCGGGTGAAAGTTCGGAGCCACGTTTAAGCGGGCTTCGCCGCTTTTGTCTCGTCGCGTGCAGCAAAACCGCCTCCCGGGCCCGAGGCCACCAGCAGGCGCCAGTGCCGCCTCACCCCTCGGGAGAGGCGGCGTCTGTTAGCCGCGGCGGTGATGCGAGCACCACCGCCACCACCACCGCCACCACCACCACCGCCGCCGCCGCCGGCGTCACCGCCGTCCCAGGGCAGCGACGAGCTGGTGTCCATCAACGTGGGCGGCGCGCGCCACTCGCTGCCGTGCGCGGTGCTCGCCTCCTACCCACGCTCGCGGCTCGGCCGCCTCGCGCAGCTGTGGCGGTGGCGGCGGCGCCGTGGGGGAGGAGGAGGAGGAGGCGGGGGGCGGCGAGACGCGGGGCCCGGCGGCGGCGGCGGCGGCGGCGGCGGCCACCCGCACCCCCTGCAGCTTTGCGACGACGTGGGAGCGGCGAGCGAGTTCTTCTTCGACCGCAGCGCGGAGGCGTTCGAGTGCGTGCTGCACTTCTACCGCACGGGCCGCCTGCACCTGCGCGAGTCTCTGTGCGCCGTCTCGTTCGGCCAGGAGCTGGAGTACTGGGGGCTGGAGGACGCGCTGCTGGCCTCCTGCTGCCAGGATCGCTACGCGCGCCGGAACGCCGCCGCCGCCGCCGCCGCCGATGACCGCGGCGGCTCCTCCGCCGAGGACGGCGAGCGAAGGGACGCGGACCGGGACTCGGACTCGGACGGCGAGGGCGGCGGCGGCGGCGGCGGCGGCCTCGAGCGCGGCCGGTGCCGCCGTCTGCGCCGCACGATCCGGGCCACGCTGGAGCGGCCCGGATCGTCGCGTGCGTCGCGGGCCGTGGCGGCCGTGTCGGTCACCTTCGTGGTGCTGTCCATCGCCAACATGGCCCTGGTGAGCGCGCCCGAGTACGCGCCGGCGGCCGGCGACGACGAGGCGACGGCGCTGGGGGTCCTGGAGGGGGTGTGCATGGCGTGGTTCACGGGCGAGCTGGCGCTGCGATTCGCGTGCGCGCGGCGCAAGCGGCGCTTCGCCGCGCGCTTCGTCAACATCGTGGACCTGGTGGCCATCGCGCCCTTCTACGTCACCCTGGCGGTGGAGCAGCTGGCGGGGGCCTCCACGGAGCTCGAGAACGTGGGCCGCGTCGTGCAGGTGCTCAAGCTGTCGAGGTCGCTGCGTATGCTCAAGCTGGGCCGTCACTCCACAGGCGAGTAAGGCGCTCGCGTGGGGAGAGTGGTGGGTGGGTGGTGGGTGCGGTGCCCAGGTCACACGCAGACGGCAACTACCACGATCGCTCAGATTGGGCCGCTCCAATGAGCGAGGTCGGTCCCCGCAGAGTCGAGGCCGAAGGGCTCCCTTCCACCTAACGGGGATCCCAGAGGCTCGTGGCCACAGCCGACACCGATGGCCCTCGTGCGCTGTTGGGGCCGAACGAGATAAACACAGCCGGTCGACACCGGCTGCGACTCGTGTCACCGCGCGGCGACTCGCAGTGCAGCTCCGTTGAGCTGGCGGTCTCGATGAGGCCGAGCAGCAGCTGAGAGACGTCGGGCACGCGACGGCGCGCCGCGTCGAGCGTCCGGGCGCTGCTCGTCCGCCGTTTACAGCCCAGCGGTGGCATTTCCACGTTCCTATGGCGCGGAGCGACGGCCCTGGCGGTGCTCGCTGGCGGTGCCGCGTGTTGCTCGGCACAAGCCGAGTCTTAACTATTGACTCCTGATAACGGTTTTGGTTTTTTATTTGACGACGGATGGCCCCGCTGGGCTGCGTAGCTCTCTTTCAGAAGTCACCTGACCATCACAAGTGGTAGCTCAACCAAGTGGGTTTATTATCAACATCATCATCATCATCGTGTGGACATACTCAGCAGTATGTCCACACGATGATGTGTGGACATACAGCAGCCAAATACCCTGAACGCGTGACGCTGATTCTAAACGTATAAGAAAGGTAAGCGAATCACTAACATGTAATAAATATACTAAAACTAAACTGTTTTTTTTATTTCACCAGACAAGACCCACTGAGCTTTGTAGCTTTTTTTCCCAAACGCGACCTGGCTATCACAAATTATGGCTCAACGCGGTGGCTTAGCGTCACCTCGAAATGCACAGCAGTCAAACGCTCGAAACGCGTGGACGTTGATTCTGAATGTGGAGAGGAAAACCGGAAGACCCGGAGAAAAATCCACGCGACCACGTGGAGAGAGAGAGAGACACCGCAAATTCCAAATACACAGCAGCCAGTGTGAGGTTTCTGGATAGAACTCACGACCTCCTGTATACCAGGCGAGGTAGTTAACATCTCCTAGCCACCGTGATGATGATGATGAGAGAGAGACACGCAAACTCCAAATATACAGCAGCAGATATCGTCAGGGTCGTGATGGAACTCACGACCTCCTGTATACCAGGGGAGGTAGTTAACATCTCCTAGCTGGCAATGGAAATAAATCGTGCGGGCGCCACGGCGCTTCCGAAATGCGATGTTTGTGATGTGGCGGTGTTTGGTGGTGGTGGCGGCGGCGTCTCGTTTGTCATTGCGAGCAATGTCTGTGAATCAATTCAGCGACGTCTCGTGTGACATTGCGAGCAAGGGCTGTGAATCCATTCAGCGACGTCTCGTGTGACATTGAGAGCAATGGCTGTGAATCCATTCAGCGACGTCTCGTGTGACATTGAGAGCAATGGCTGTGAATCCATTCAGTGACGTGTCGTGTGACATTGAGAGCAATGGCTGTGAATCCATTCAGCGACGTCTCGTGTGACATTGCGAGCCAGGGCTGTGAATCCATTCAGCGACGTCTCGTGTGACATTGAGAGCAAGTCTGTGAATCCATTCAGCGACGTGTCGTGTGACATTGAGAGCAATGGCTGTGAATCCATTCAGCGACGTCTCGTGTGACATTGAGAGCAATGGCTGTGAATCCATTCAGTGACGTGTCGTGTGACATTGAGAGCAATGGCTGTGAATCCATTCAGCGACGTCTCGTGTGACATTGCGAGCCAGGGCTGTGAATCCATTCAGCGACGTCTCGTGTGACATTGAGAGCAAGTCTGTGAATCCATTCAGCGACGTGTCGTGTGACATTGAGAGCCAGGGCTGTGAATCCATTCAGCGACGTCTCGTGTGTCATTGTGAGCAAGGGCTGTGAATCCATTCACCGACGTCTCGTGTGACATTGCGAACAATGTCTGTGAATCCATTCACCGACGTCTCGTGTGACATTGCGAGCAATGTCTGTGAATCCATTCAGCGACGTGTCGTGTGACATTGCGAGCAATGTCTGTGAATCCATTCAGCGACGTGTCATGTGACATTGCGAGCCAGGGCTGTGAATCCATTCAGCGACGTGTCATGTGACATTGCGAGCAAGGGCTGTGAATCCATTCAGCGACGTGTCGTGTGACATTGCGAGCAAGGGCTGTGAATCCATTCAGCGACGTCTCGTTTGTCATTGCGAGCCAGGGCTGTGAATCCATTCAGCGACGTGTCGTGTGACATTGCGAGCAAGGGCCGTGAATTCATTCAGCGACGTCCGACCTTTCACCCCACGTGCTGGTAACTCCTTTACGGAACGGAAGCCGACACCTCTTGGAGCGAAACGTCGGGCGTCGTGCCGAACGACAGGCGCGACAAGCCCCGAATGCACACGCCGGTAGTCGTGACCCATCGAACGAACACCGTGGATTTCCCGTGGTGTTGTAACATCAGCCGCACCATGGGCGATTCGCGACGCAGCTGACAGGCGATGCGAAGGGCTCGTCGCCTCGTCACGGCCACTCACGCTCCGACACGAAACACAAACTGAGCGCAGCGCGTCGCTGTCACGCGTTAGCCCGAGGTCCCGGAGCTGATCACGTCCACTCTTTGGAGTCCGCGAGCCGAGCGAGCGAGTGGACGTGGTGCCGGCCACCCACCCCCTCGTGTGCCACAGTGCCGGCCTTCATCGGTTGCTGCTGCTGCTGCTTCTCGCGACTACGGACAGTGCTTGTTCCCAGCAGTCTGTTCAAGCTATATACGGGGGGGGGGGGGGTCTTTGTCTAAATGTGATGTTTAAGCACGAATAACGAATAGAGGAACTCAACACATTCGTGAATAACTGCGCTATGAAGAAGGAACATTGCCCGAAACGTCGCCTATTCTTTATGTTTAGTTTTCGGGCCGCAGTGTTTTTGATGATTGTATTGAGTTAGTTGTGTGTGTGTGTGTACGTAGCGAGTGTGTGTAAGTAGGGAGTGTGTGTGTACGTAGGGAGTGTGTGTAAGTAGGGAGTGTGTGTGTGTACATAGGGAGTGTGTGTAAGTAGGGAGTGTGTGTGTGTAAGTAGGGAGTGTGTGTAAGTAGGGAGTGTGTGTAAGTAGGGAGTGTGTGTAAGTAGGGAGTGTGTGTAAGTAGGGAGTGTGTGTAAGTAGGGAGTCTGTGTGTAAGTAGGGAGTGTGTGTAAGTAGGGAGTGTGAGTAAGTAGGGAGTGTGTGTAAGTAGGGAGTCTGTGTGTAAGTAGGGAGTGTGTGTAAGTAGGGAGTGTGAGTAAGTAGGGAGTGTGTGTAAGTAGAGAGTGTGTGTGTAAGTAGGGAGTGTGTGTAAGTAGGGAGTGTGTGTAAGTAGGGAGTGTGTGTAAGTAGGGAGTGTGTGTGTGTACGTATGGAGTGTGTAAGTAGAGAGTGTGTGTAAGTATGGAGTGTGTGTGTAAGTAGGGAGTGTGTGTACGTAGGGAGTGTGTGTAAGTAGGGAGTGTGTGTAAGTAGGGAGTGTGTGTAAGTAGGGAGTCTGTGTGTAAGTAGGGAGTGTGTGTAAGTAGGGAGTGTGAGTAAGTAGGGAGTGTGTGTAAGTAGGGAGTCTGTGTGTAAGTAGGGAGTGTGTGTAAGTAGGGAGTGTGAGTAAGTAGGGAGTGTGTGTAAGTAGGGAGTGTGTGTGTAAGTAGGGAGTGTGTAAGTAGGGAGTGTGTGCAAGTAGGGAGTGTGTGTGTGTACGTATGGAGTGTGTAAGTAGAGAGTGTGTGTAAGTAGGGAGTGTGTAAGTAGGGAGTGTGTGTAAGTAGGGAGTGTGTGTACGTAGGGAGTGTGTGTAAGTAGGGAGTGTGTGTACGTAGGGAGTCTGTGTAAGTAGGGAGTGTGTGTACGTAGGGAGTGTGTGTAAGTAGGGAGTGTGTGTACGTAGGGAGTGTGTGTACGTAGGGAGTGTGTGTGTACGTAGTGTGTGTGTTATTGGGGAGGGAGGAAGGGGAAAGAGAGGGAGGGAGGGGAGGGAGGGGAGGGGCGGGTGGAGCTCCTCGGCTACCCGAGGGATCTTCGTGAGCGAGGCAGCCAGGCGGACGCAATGACCTTGACCGTTATTTATTTATTTCGTTTAAAAGCCAAACAGCGTGCGCCGGTGGGGCTGACGAGATGTGCAGGTCGCACCCGGACGTTGCTATTTCCGTTACTGAGAGCTCCTGCAACGGGGGAGGGAGGAGAGGGATGGAGGTGAGGAGAGGGAGGGAGGGAGGTGAGGGGAGGAGAGGGAGGGAGGGAGGGCGAACATTGAGGGCGAACATTGAGGGCAGAGCCAGAAAGGGAGTTTGCCAAGTGCCCTCCGAGTCACAGACGCTCCTGTAATGTTATTTGTTGATCTCCGTTGCCACGATCAAAAACCCTCCCAGGTAGCGCGGCCCCGAGGCCCGGCGGCTTTCGCGTAGCGCATTGCCCCCACGGCGTGAACATTGCCGCGTGTGTGTGTGTACTGTGGCGTGTGTACTGTGGTGTGTGTGTACTGTGGTGTGTGTGTGTGTGTACTGTGGTGTGTGTGTGTACTGTGGTGTGTGTGTGTACTGTGGTGTGTGTGTACTGTGGTGTGTGTGTACTGTGGCGTGTGTACTGTGGTGTGTGTGTACTGTGGTGTGTGTATGTACTGCGCTGTGTGTGTGTGTACTGTGGTGTGTGTGTGTACTGTGGTGTGTGTGTACTGTGGTGTGTGTGTACTGTGGTGTGTGTGTACTGTGGTGTGTGTGTACTGTGGTGTGTGTGTGTATTGTGGTGTGTGTGTACTGTGGTGTGTGTGTACTGTGGTGTGTGTGTACTGTGGTGTGTGTGTGTATTGTGGTGTGTGTGTACTGTGGTGTGTGTGTACTGTGGTGTGTGTGTACTGTGGTGTGTGTGTGTACTGTGGTGTGTGTGTGTACTGTGGTGTGTGTGTACTGTGGTGTGTGTGTACTGTGGTGTGTGTGTACTGTGGTGTGTGTACTGTGGTGTGTGTGTGTACTGTGGTGTGTGTGTGTACTGTGGTGTGTGTGTACTGTGGTGTGTGTGTACTGTGGTGTGTGTGTACTGTGGTGTGTGTGTGTACTGTGGTGTGTGTGTGTACTGTGGTGTGTGTGTACTGTGGTGTGTGTGTACTGTGGTGTGTGTGTACTGTGGTGTGTGTGTATTGTGGTGTGTGTGTAGTGCAGTGTGTGTGTACTGCGGTGTGTGTGTGTACTGCGGTGTGTGTGTACTGTGGTGTGTGTGTGTACTGTGGTGTGTGTGTGTACTGTGGTGTGTGTGTACTGTGGTGTGTGTGTGTATTGTGGTGTGTGTGTGTACTGTGGTGTGTGTGTGTATTGTGGTGTGTGTGTGTGTAGTGCGGTGTGTGTGTACTGCGGTGTGTGTGTGTGTACTGCGCTGTGTGTGTACTGTGGTGTGTTGTGTGTGTACTTTGGTGTGTGTACTGTGGTGTGTGTGTACTGCGGCGTGTGTGTACTGCGGAGTGTGTGTGTACTGTGGTGTGTGTGTGTACTGTGGTGTGTGTGTGTACTGTGGTGTGTGTACTGTGGTGTGTGTGTGTACTGTGGTGTGTGTGTGTACTGTGGTGTGTGTGTACTGTGTGTGTACTGTGGTGTGTGTGTACTGTGGTGTGTGTGTACTGTGGTGTGTGTGTGTACTGTGGTGTGTGTGTGTACTGTGGTGTGTCTGTGTGTACTGTGGTGTGTGTGTGTACTGTGGTGTGTGTGTACTGTGGTGTGTGTGTATACTGTGGTGTGTGTACTGTGGTGTGTGTACTGTGGTTTGTGTGTACTGTGGTGTGTGTGTGTACTGTGATGTGTGTGTGTACTGTGGTGTGTGTGTACTGCGGCGTGTGTGTACTGCGGCGTGTGTGTACTGTGGTGTGTGTGTGTACTGTGGTGTGTGTACTGTGGTGTGTGTACTGTGGTGTGTGTGTGTACTGCGGCGTGTGTGTACTGTGGTGTGTGTGTACTGTGGTGTGTGTGTACTGTGGTGTGTGTACTGTGGTGTGTGTGTGTACTGCGGCGTGTGTGTGTGTACTGTGGTGTGTATGTACTGTAGTGTGTGTACTGTGGTGTGTATGTACTATGGCGTGTTTACTGCGGCGTGTGTGTGTACTGTGGTGCGTGTGTGTACTGTGGTGTGTGTGTACTGTGGTGTGTGTGTACTGTGGTGTGTGTGTGTGTGCTGTGGTGTGTGTACTGCGGCGTGTGTGTGTGTACTGTGGTGTGTGTGTACTGTGGCGTGTGTGTACTGTGGTGTGTGTACTGTGGTGTGTGTGTACTGTGGTGTGTGTGTGTGTGCTGTGGTGTGTGTACTGCGGCGTGTGTGTACTGTGGCGTGTGTGTACTGTGGTGTGTGTACTGTGGTGTGTGTGTGTGTACTGCGGCGTGTGTGTACTGTGGTGTGTGTATACTGCGGTGTGTGTACTGCGGTGTGTGTGTACTGTGGTGTGTGTGTACTGCGGCGTGTGTGTACTGCGCCGTGTGTGTACTGTGGCGTGTGTGTACTGTGGTGTGTGTGTACTGTGGTGTGTGTGTACTGCGGCGTGTATATGTACTGTGGTGTGTGTGTACTGTGGTGTGTGTATACTGCGGTGTGTGTACTGCGGTGTGTGTGTACTGTGGTGTGTGTGTACTGCGGCGTGTGTGTACTGCGCCGTGTGTGTACTGTGGCGTGTGTGTACTGTGGTGTGTGTGTACTGTGGTGTGTGTGTACTGCGGCGTGTATATGTACTGTGGTGTGTGTGTACTGCGGTGTGTGTATGTGTACTGTGGTGTGTGTGTGTACTGTGGTGTGTGTGTGTACTGTGGTGTGTGTGTACTGTGGTGTGTGCGTGTACTGTGGTGTGTGTGTGTACTGTGTGTGTGTGTGTACTGTGGTGCGTGTGTGTACTGTGGTGTGTGTGTACTGTGTGTGTGTGTACTGTGGTGTGTGCGTGTACTGTGGTGTGTGTATGTACTGTGTGTGTGTGTACTGTGTGTGTGTGTACTGCGGCGTGTGTTGTGTTCCGTGCTCCAATTAGGTCGACGTGGGTACCGGGGTCGCGATGTGCACAGCGGTTTGCGCGCTGCGCACCCCGTCACCCGAGTTAAATTCCCTGCCACGGCTAACATCAGTGGCTGAACACGTTAACAGCCCTCACCCCGCAGTGGATCTAGACAATGGCAACTCTCTGCCCCGTCTCTCTCTCTCACTCGCCGCCGCCCGTGACCTCGCAGGCCTCAAGGCGCTGGGCTTCACCATCAAGCAGTGCCACGAGGAGGTGGGGCTGCTGCTGCTCTTCTTCTCCGTGGGCGTCTCCATCTTCTCGGTGCTCGAGTACGCGCTCGAGAGCTCCTCCCCGGGCACGGGTTTCACGAGCGTGCCGAGCGCCTGGTGGTGGGCCACCACGTCCATGACCACGGTGGGCTACGGGGACGTGCGCCCCGACACGACGGCCGGCAAGCTGGCGGCGTTCGCGTGCATCCTGTCGGGGCTGCTGGTGCTCGCGCTGCCCATCGCCATCATCAACGACAAGTTCGCCTCCTACTACCGCGCGCTGCGTCTGCGCGACGCGGCCGAGCGGCACGGCCGCGCGCTGCGCGGCCTCGCGCGGGCCCAGGAGGACGCGCGGGCGGACCGCGGCGGGGACGCGGAGGGGGACGCGGGGCCGCGGGCGAACCTGCGCGACGTTTACGCGCGCCGCGTGCTCGGGGCCCTGCGCGGGCCAGGTGATCGCGACTCCGTGGAGAGGCTTTGACGGCCGCAGTCGTGGGGCGGGGGGCGTCTTAGGGGAGCGCGGCTGGCGGCGGGGGTGGGGGGCGAGGTGGGGGGTAGGCAAGCACCAGCCGTGAAAATCCGGCGACGCCGCGCGGTCACGAATCGACCGAGGGCTAAGTCGGAGGTCGGAGTCGGAATGTCGGGGTCGGCACCGCGCACGTGGCCCCGTCTCGGAGCACGCGGTGGCGGTGATATTCCAAGGGCGCCACGCCGGGATTTGCGTACGGCGTTCATGTTGCCGGCAGCATTGTCAGGTCGCCCTGTGCGGAGAATCGCCGAGGAAGTAAGGAGAGGAGCGCGGAGGATTTGGACCCAAAAATTCAACGACGAAAATGGGAGTTCGTGGCATCCGTGGGGAGAGAGGGAGGGAGGGAGAGAGGGTGATGAACAGAGCTGGACCGTGAATATTCCCGAGATGAACATCCGCGAGGTGAAACGGGCGTCGTAGTGAAATTAGATTGGGTTTTTTTTTACCTTCAAGTTTAATGAGATATTTGAAAAATTATAATGACAACGCGGTGTTTGTACTGTCCACCACTGCGGCTTCCGCGCTCAGACTGCACGTGGTCTGTTTATCCCGAGTCAATTCACACGGGAGATTAATTGCGGCAAAATCGCATTCGGCACGGGGAGAGCAGCAACAGCAACAACAACAGCAGCAGCAACAACAACAGCAACAACAGCAACAACAGCAGCAGCAACAGCAACAACAACAGCAACAACAACAGCAACAACAACAACAGCAGCAACAACAGCAGCAGCAACAGCAGCAACAGCAACAACAGCAACAACAACAACAGCAACAACAACAGCAACAACAGCAGCAGCAGCAACAACAGCAACAACAACAGCAGCAGCAACAACAGCAGCAGCAACAGCAGCAACAACAGCAACAACAGCAGCAACAGCAACAACAGCAGCAGCAGCAACAACAACAACAGCAACAACTAACTAAAGGAAGCGGCGCATCGGGGCTTCGGTGTCGCCAGGGTCCCGATGGTTGCGGGGAGGAGGGGGGAGGAGGAGGAGGTAGGAGGGAGGAGGAGGTAGGAGGAGGGAGGAGGTAGGAGAAGGAGGTAGGAGGAGGAGGGAGGAGGAGGTAGGAGGAGGAGGGAGGAGGAGGAGGAGGAGGTAGGAGGAGGAGGTAGGAGGAGGGAGGAGGAGGTAGGAGGAGGAGGTAGGAGGAGGAGGTAGGAGGGAGGAGGAGGAGAGAGGAGGAGGTAGGAGGGAGGAGGGAGGGAGCAGGAGGAGGGAGGAGGAGGTAGGAGGGAGGAGGGAGGAGGAGGAGGGAGATGTCCCCCCGCTCCCGGGAGTCGCGACGAGCCGAGCTGAGCGAGCGCTGGTGGCCGACAGAGAGACAGAGAGAGAGAGAGGTGTTTAATTGGCACGACAAAGACACAGATCCCCCCCCAGCCCCCCGTATCGCCCGTAAAAGACTGGGGGGGGGGGCAAATTGTGTTCGCGAGTAGCACCCTGCGAAGGGTGGCCGGCACCACGCCCGGCCGCCTTTGTCTCCCCAGTGGCGATGTTTTGACTGCACACCGCACCGGGCACTCGTTTGTTCGCCGTGAGCGGGAATCGAACTCGGGGTGTCGGGTTCGTGGTGCAGCACGGCGCTAACCGCTACGCCACCGCTCAACACACGCACGCAAAGATCCCCCGTGTAGCCTGCGACAGACTGCACGGGCAAGTGCTGTTAGCAAGCACCTATGAGGGTCGGCAAGGCACACGAGGGGGTGGGTGGCCAGCACCACGCCCGGCCGCCTTTGTCTCCCAGACAGACACAGACAACAACTACCGCCATTCGCCACTAAGTGGCGATGACGTCACCACGGCGCTTGTGCCAGGCTATGTACACGTTGAGGCCACGTGGAGTGTCGAACGCCCCTTGGACGAAGTCACGGGACAGACGCAGGTGCCACGGGTCGACTGACTGAGATGACTGAGATGAGTGGCTGATGCACCACCTGTGCCCCCTACTGTGCCAACCTGCTGTGTTTTAGCCACCCGGCGCTTCGCTCGTTGTTGTGAGCGTCGCTCCTCCGCCCTCCGTTGTTGTTGGAGGGCGACTACCTCCAACTGCCCAGTAGCGTCCTTCACGAGCCTCCTCCACAGAGGCCGATCTTGACACCGCTGGTACCAGTCATCGACAAGTCCACTCAGCTCCACGTCCTCCTGTACCACATCACTCCATCTCTTCTCTCGCCCGTGTCGCGCCCTTTTAACCCCCTCTATCTGGCTGAACAAAAGCTGTTTCGGCATGCAGTGGCTGGGGATGCAGGCTACATGACCCAGCCAACGCAGCCTTGCCTGCCGGAGGAGCTCACCGATGGGACCTTGCCCAGATCTTTCAAGGATTCGGAAGATTCCCCACACGATCCAGCCTGGTTAAACCCAGGATGGATCGTCGGCAGGCCAGCCTAAATGTTTCTAACCAGCGAAGATGTTCCATTAGGTGGGTCCACGTTTCCTAAGCATACAGAAGGGAGGGCATGACCTTGGCCAAGAAGACCTCAAGCTTCGTGTGGAGCGACAGACCAAGTAGAAACACAGCGTTACGCAGCTGATGTAAAGATAATGCTGCTCGACTGATTCGGAGTGAGACCTCTGCTGTCAAACCGGAGCTGGCCATGAGCACACTGCCCGGGGTATGGAAAACTCTCCACTCTCTCCACAACTGCTCCACACACACACAGACACACACAGAGGGCCTACGCCCAGAACTGGGGAGGGGGGATGGGGCCCAGGGCACGCGGGCCACGTGAAAGAGGCCGCAAACTGCTCTGCATCTGTCGCCACCTTAACCGCACTGCTCGGGTACTGGAGGAGAAGATGCGCGACCTGGCAGCTTCTTTCATATGCCCTGTGAGCGACAGTTTGTATAGATGATGTCAGAGTTGAATGTTAAGGCCCTTCAACCAATCCAGGGCGGCAGTATATGCTGTGCGAATGATAGAGATGATGTCATATTTTAGTGTTAAGGCCCTTCAACCATGGCGTGTGGCGTGGATGATGGCGTGCACTCGTCAGCGATGCGTTTGACCTGGCAGCAACAACAACAACGCTACGCTTCTCGGTTCATCGCAGCGGCGCTCACTCAATTCTGCTACTGGGGGGGATTGAGGCTGTGAGTGGTGGCGTGCGGTCTGGACACGCACCACGTGGCCACAGCGCAAGGAGCCACACGTGACTCTTGTGTGTTCACTAACCACGTGGTCACAGTGCAAGGAGCCACACGCGGCTCTTGAGTGTTCACTAACCACGTGGTCACAGTGCAAGGAGCCACCCGCGGCTCTTGTGTGTTCACTAACCACGTGGTCACAGTGCAAGGAGCCACACGCGGGTCTTGAGTGTCCACTAACCACGTGGTCACAGTGCAAGGAGCCACACGCGGGTCTTGAGTGTTCACTAACCACGTGGTCACAGTGCAAGGAGCCACACGCGGCTCTTGTGTGTTCACTAACCACGTGGTCACAGTGCAAGGAGCCACACGCGGCTCTTGTGTGTTCACTAACCACGTGGTCACAGTGCAAGGAGCCACACGCGGGTCTTGAGTGTTCACTAACCACGCGGTCACAGTGCAAGGAGCCACACGCGGCTCTTGTGTGTTCACTAACCACGTGGTCACAGTGCAAGGAGCCACACGCGGGTCTTGAGTGTTCACTAACCACGTGGTCACAGTGCAAGGAGCCACACGTGGCTCTTGTGTGTTCACTAACCACGTGGTCACAGTGCAAGGAGCCACACGTGGCTCTTGAGTGTTCACTAACCACGTGGTCACAGTGCAAGGAGCCACACGCGGCTCTTGTGTGTTCACTAACCACGTGGTCGCAGTGCAAGGAGCCACACGCGGCTCTTGAGTGTGATTCGCAAATTACGAAATTGGGTAAAATCACGTGACCACTCTCCACCACCACCACCACCACTCTCCACCACCACTCTCTACCACCACACTCCACCACCACCACAACTCTCTACCACCACCACCACTCTCCACCACCACTCTCTACCACCACCACTACCACTCTCCACCACCACTCTCTACCACCACGCTCCACCACCACTCTCCACCACCACCACTCTCCACCATCACCACCACCACTCTCCACTACCAATATCAACCACTCTCCACCAACCACACTCCACCACCACCACCACTCTCCACCACCACCACTCCACCACCACCACTCTCCACCACCACCACTCCACCACCACTCTCCACCACCACCACTCTCCACCACCACTCTCCATGCAGCACTCTCACCCAGCACTCTCTACCAAGAGCAAAAGTAAGGCGTAACATTTCACACTCGCGATGCGGAGAAGACGGCCACAACTCAGAGCGCCGAATTATGGCAACCAATCAAAGATTTAATCATCATCATCATCATTACAATCAGCCGTGATCAATCTACTGCTGGACCAAATGCCTGCCCAATTCTGCCACCGTCTCTCGTAACCCTGCGATGTAACGATCCGCCTGGCGGCTGCACTCGAGCTGATGGACAGATGACTGAGGTGGGAGCCGAGTTGGTCACACGCGGCTGCCTTTGTCTCTCCGAGACAACGAACGAACGCGATGCAGCTATCGGCTCACCGGTTACACGCGCGGGATGAGACTGCTCGGAGAAGGGGGGGGGGGTCAACGTAGGGGTCACGCTGCAGCGACAGCTGAGGCTGAGTAGGGGGTGCCGGAGAGACTGTCACGTGACGGAGGGAAAGCCCATCACGGCAGAAGCGTGAGCGCATGGCTGGAACACACAACGGAATGAACGCACGCACGCACACACAAAGATCCCCCGTACAGCGTAAACAGACTGTTGGGGCGAGTGCCGTTAGCGAGCAGCACCTATGAAGGCCGGCACGGCACACGAGGGGGTGGGTGGCCAGCAACCACGCCCGACCGCCTTTGTCTCCCCGGTGTTGATGTTTACACACCGCTACACCGGGTGCTCATTTGAGGCTGAGCCGACCTTGGGG